GGGTTTTATAAACATAAAATTATTCAAATCATCAATTGACATTGAACTATGAAAACTGACCAAGGAACTCTCATGAGAAACGTGCAAATCTAATAAAATGATGTATATAAATATTGGATATGAGGGTTCCGAAGTTAGTCTGGTCTGGGGATACTCTTGACTTGACAAGAGCTCGTCGTAATGGTCATTATAATGTAAGTTGTTATTAGGTCTTTATATTCATTGTTGTTTATACATATTTATTATCACTTTACCCATAATGTTTCATGCTATTATAAATACTGTTATGTTTGAATGTAGTCTCGTACTTTCAGTTACCCCTAAACTATTAGTGCCCATTTGAATATTACCTCTCGCCAACTTTTATGTTGTGACAATATAACGTCTCAAAGATACATCTTCATGCCAACATTTTCAAACATCACAAAACATCCCAGGGATGTTTGTGCTCGCTGGGCATGAATTCGTGACGACGGATATGAATTCACATTGAAATATTCGGGACGAAAGAGATCCATACTCCACAGAGAAGAGAATGACAGATGGCAGAGTTTGTTATCATTATTTGTGTCACTTCTGCCACTTTTGGATGATATTCTGTATATTCGGTATGCTTATCAAAGAAATACTTCAAATAATACGAACAAGAAGTATATTTTGTGATTTACCAATCTATATATCTACCATCGAATGAAATTTTATTCAAAAAAATTAGGAAAATTATCAAAAATGTCGCTGAATCACGAATAAAAGTCGCTAAATTTCTAAAAATCTCGTCTGCTGCGGGCTTTCTTCTAGCTTCGCTCGCTATTTGGCGACTTCTATCGGTTTTTTTCGTGATTTTTCACGACTAACTGAAATATTTCACTCTGAACTGAATCGTTCTTTCGAATGACGTTCATGTGGAGAGATTACAGTGAGATTTGAATACCCAGGCAACCAGATGACGAATGATCACGTCACTGTGACGTCCCGAATGGGTGATTTTTCGTCAGAGACGTCACACACCAATTTATGACGTTAATATGACGTCATAATCACGTCATCGTTTCGACGTCGAGTGGACGTCACTTAGATGGGTAAAAGGAGACGTCGGTTTCATGACGTTGCAGGGACGTTCTGTCGACGTCCATTTTTCCCAGACCTCCTCTAAACCATGTATACTTATACATATATTATCATGTGAAACAGAAGTCTAACTCATGAAACCAAATCAACATGCAAGTTTTATTCTAATTATTGATATACCCGAGAAGTTGTAGGAAAACTTTCTTCTGAAAAACTTTGTCACACTGTATATCTCGGAAACTAACAAGCTATGTATATATAAAAATTATTGTTTGGGTATACCTATATTGAAACCGTTACTCTTATGACGTTGCAGTGACGTATCTATGACGTCTAAAAATCACGTCGGTGTGACGACGTACAGGGTGATTCACCATAAATGTCCCCCCTCTAACTCACTCATTTTCGAACCGATTCAAAAATTTGAAAAATAATCTGGAATGATTTCTCAGAATATTTTTTCCCGTTGCATCAGAAAATACAGGGTGCTCGAAACATACAATCTACAGGGTACTACTTGATTTTTTCAAATGGAATACCCTGTATTTCATTGAATTTTCAGATTCTTCTTGAAGAGCTGATTTCATCGATGCATCACACTTGGGGTCTAGCGGGAATGATTACAGTAATATAGGGTGTTCAAAATCGAGATTATTCAACTTTAAGATTTTTTTGTGTCGAAACTATTCATTATTGGTCTAAACGGCTCCTTTGTCCCCATCTCAACTTTCGATTTACTATCAACTGACATTTAATTGGAACATTTACAGGGTGGTTCAAGATTCAGAATTCTGATCACCCTGTATATCTGTTCCAATCATTAAATGTCAGTAGATAGTGAATCAAAAGTTGAGATACGGACATGGAAGCCGTTTTGACCGATAATGAATAGTTTCGTCACAAAAATATTCTAAAGTTGAAAAATCTCGATTTTGAACACCCTATATCTCTGTAATCATTCTCGCTAGACCCCAAGTGTGTTGCATTGATCAAATCAGCTCTTCAGGGAGAATCTAAAAATATAATGAAAAATAGGGTGTTCCATTAAAAAAAATCAAATAGTATCCTGTAGATCATTTGTTCCAAGCACCCTGTATTTTTTGATGTAGCGAAAAGAAACTTTATCAAAAATCATTTGAGATGATATTTCAAATTTTGAAATATGTGCAAAAATAACTGAGCTAGAGGGGGGGGGCATTTATGGTGAATCACCCTGTACCAATTTGGTGAGCTTCGTCATTTAGTAAATTTTCCAATAATTTGCTATTTGGATTTTTGTTGGGCGATAAAGAATGCATCAATATACATTATTCAACAAAGTGAAGCCAAATTCGCCAACATCATTTCCATTCCTATCAAACTATTCTTTGTTTGCTTACATCTCGCCGACACAAACTACATGATTTTCAATACAAATACGAGTAACTGATTGCATTCTGATGAAGATGCGTACTGAAGGATGGCGCTGCTGAATAGGCGATTGTATGAACATGACACAGGAGGGACCCACCAAGCGGACTCAACAATCCATAATCAATATTATTTATATAATGTCATCAGAGACTAGTGGTGTTCATCACACCATGTTGAAGGAATCTTTTCTTCGTATCATCGTCAAATTCAATAGTCATTTTGACGTCATTATGACGTCAGTCGGACGTCACAGTTTGGTGAGTGAATGACGTCAATACGACGTGAGTAATTCGACGTCATTGGGCTGTTACTTATTCACGTCATTATCACGTCAATGCGACGTCAACTACTGACGTCACCTTGGTCATTCAAGTGACGTAAAAAAGACGTCACTGGAACGCCATCTGGTTGCCTGGGTATTTATAGCGAATTCCATTGGCAGGAACTAGTTAAGTGTTTCTGCGCTCAATGTATATGTTGCCTCCAAGAATTAACCCCACAGGCCCCCGTTTTTCGAATTAAAAAAAAAATCATAACTTTTTCAAAATACACGTGGATGGGAGTTTTTTTCTATGAATGTGTTCCTCTAATGATACTTGATAAACACATCATCACGTACCATTAGAGGAACACATTCATAAATAAAACTCCCATCCACGTGTATTTTGAAGAAAATATGTTTTTTTCAGAAATTCTGAAAATGGAAGCCTGTGGGGTTAATTCTCGGGTTGATTCTTGCCCGACAAAATATTGTGAAATATACACATCATCAAGTACCATCAGAGGAACACATTCATAGAAAAAAACTCTCATCCACGTGTATTTTGAGAAAGTTATGATTATTTTTTCGAAATTCTGAAAAAGGGGACTGTGAAGTTAATTCTTGTCCGACAAATTATTGTAAGATATACAGATCATAATAGACCCTCATAGGAATACATTCATGGAAAATAGTTTCATCCATGGACATATTTTGAAGGTTTTAGTAATTTCATGGCCAGCCATATGAATATAAATTAATTATAAACGACCATTGGTGGTATGGCGCGCGCCTTGAATATTAGGCGAAGTCGTGACTCAAACTCGTGGCTGGTTCCACACTGATAAATAATGGTAGGTTCTACAGCTAGTGGTAGAAAAATACTTTACCGCCCGATCACCTACTTTACCGTCCGCCGAACTCCTTTACTGCCCGCCGGACTACTTTACCGCCCGCTGTACTCCTTTATTGCCCTAGAACGCTAAAGTTATACTTTACGCCAGCGAATCCGGGCAATGAAGGCTTGGTCGTGTATGAACAAATATATCAACTGTTTTTCTGTGCCTTTCCCCTCGTTTTATTGGCTATTTGGAATTTTCTGTCCACTGTCCAGTCTGTATATTTCATTTCAACAATACCTTATTCCTTGGACAGCAGAAGGATGATTGAAGCTTCTGTGACATAGATGACAGGTCAAGGTTGAGAGCCCTTAGCAGAAGAAGTTTGATATTTCTGTTGAAAAGGAATATTTTCAGATAAATTATGAACATACAAAAATGGAAATATATTTATATAAAGCAATACATTGAGAATTCGCATTCTCTATGTGATGAAAATGGTCACCCTTTTTCAGTTTATTCAATGGAGAACAACTACTTTCCTGGCTATATGCCACGACGAACATTGAATTATATCTATTGAACACACGATAAGTTTGAAAATAAAATATAAAAAAACTTCTGAAATTGAGAATTTGCATTCTCCTTCGGACAAAAATATGTATATTATGCACACATCATTCTGAATATTCAACAGAAAACAACTACTTTCCTGGCTATATTGAATTATATCTGATGAACATTCAAAAGGAGAACATGAAAAATAAAGAATAAAATTCTCCGAAATTGAGAATTGACATTCTTCTTCAAATCGGATGAACAATATGATGAATAATGATATAGAAATATAACTTACCAATATATTCAGCATTGAAATGAAAATTGGAATATATAGGAGGAGTATACTGGCACAAGCTCTGTTGGAAAATGTGCTAATGAGGTGGGGGACTTCGTTGTAAGCCCAAAATATTGGAACGAAAAGAGTATACTGACTTTTGTACTGTGAAACTTGGCAAAAATTGAACTTGTTTGGACATAATGATTCAGGTTATTAGTACTTCAAATTAATATAATAGAATCTAAAACAGCCCCAGTCTTGGACGATGGTCTCGGAGGACAAAAGAATTCATTATTTGGGTGACATGAAATTGTTGGAAAAGCAACGCTATGCACACTCGAAGTTCAGCTGACAATCAGGACTCAACACCTTGTATACGAGTAGCAGTCCTTGACATAATATACCAGAACTGACAGTATAAAATTTGTCAAATCTGTTATCCATCACTCATAATTTCCAATCATTACAACTCACGTTCTTTTTTGTTCCACTAGAGTACTGCTGAAGAGGAAAATAGACTGTAGTGAATATTGAATAAAGTTATCTTAAATATACAATGACATACAACCTCATTTCTCAAGAGAAATAGCAGTCACGTTGACAATGTCATCAATGAATGCAATATAAACACGATAAATAATGATTGCAAAATTATCGGCATAACATAATGTGAGTTGAATATTATGAGTTTTCACGGATTTATCTTCGAATCTTCATTTTACTACACTACAACTATACTATTACTCCAATGAGACATGTCCTTGATGTTGATATAGCATGAATGAATAATATAAATGAAATTGTTGTAGCTTCATACACATACCTATCTATTTTCCACTATTTCTTGAGGCCTCCAATTGTTGAACGTAATTGGTAATAAGTATAATCAAAAACCTTGTGCTAAATTTTAGTTTTCAGAAGACAGATGGCATCGTTAATTCTTCAAGCACTGAAACTATACTGGAGGACATTATTTCTTCTCATTTACCCATTGGTACTCCTTCCTGTATTTCTTGCCGAAAATACCCCCGCCTTCAGGTGTCTCTATGTCGTACTTCTAATGGCAGGTAAGGAATGAATATGCACACGAAGCTATATCTATCTTCCTGTAAACTGCTAATGAAAACTGTAATCAATAATGAAATTACTCCCATCTAGGCTATTGGGTCCTGGAAGTCTTACCCTTAGCAGTAACAGCACTCATCCCAATGGTTCTCTTTCCCCTAATGGGCATCTTGAGCACAAAAAAGACATCGCTGGCTTACATGAAAGAAACCAACATGATGTCTATAGGTGGTCTCATTATAGCTATTGCTGTGGAGCAGTGTAATCTTCATAAAAGGTAACCATACTGGGTAGATATTTTTTCATCTTCTGGTTCACACGATTTACACGAAAAGGATTCTACAGTGTGGTCATTTAAGAGTGTGAAACATATGGGAATCTTTTTAATGAATTGCACGACCCAAATACAGATAGTGCCAAAAGTTGGTGCATGTTCGGTGATCATTTTAGGTGCACTTGGATTGGTTGCAAGTCCAACAGCCTACAGGGTAGGTCCAAAAATATGAAAATTGCTCAAGAGTAAAGTACCCTTATTTCAGAAAATTCAGCAAAATGTTATTGAGGAGAGTTGTTGACAATTGAAAGTGATGCCTAAATACCAAAACATGGGCTCCTAGGACATTTTTCAGTTTTTAATTTTTTTTTCGTTAATAGTTTGCCTATTTGTGATTTTTTTTCATATTCACCCTAAACACTTTTATGAGTTGATCATAACAAAATCAGTTGATCATACCTTTGTCCAAATTCGAGCATATTTCTGCAATTAACTTGGATTCTAATTGTTTTAGAGAATCACAAACTTTATGTTTGTTGCAACGATATTCAGTTCAACTTAATAATTTCGCAAACCATATTTTCAACAATGTAAAACATCATTGATGATAATATGCATGTTCGAAAACTTTCATTTAATGTGAAAATTTCGTATTTAAAATGTTTTGAAAAAGCTGTACAAATTAATCGACAACCATGATGTCTTTCCAAATAATCATGGATATCCAAGGTACAAAACAAATAAGTGTTGACAGTAAACATTTAGACAGTTTGGTGACATTAAAATCTCATCTTATGATGTTTTACCTTGTTGAAATTATTGCAACAAACATAAAGTTTGCGATTCCGTGAAATAAATAAAAATCCAAGTTAATTACACAAGTATGCTTGAATTTGAACAAAGGAATGCTAAACTAAATGTGTTATGATCAACTCATGAAAGTGTTTAGGGTGAATATAAAAAGGTACAAATTGAGAGGTTATTAACGAAAGAAATTTGAAAACTAAATTATGTCTTAGGAGGCCATGTTTTCTCAATAACATTTTGCTGAACTTTCTGAAATAAGGGTACTTTATTCTTGATAAATTTTTATATTTTTTGACCTACCCTGTATGCTGTTGGACTTTTAAGTGCACCCCAAATGATTACCGAACATGCACCAACTTTCGGCACTATCTGTATTTTGGTTGTGCAATTCATTAAAAAGATTCCCATATGTTGCACACTTAAATAACCACACTGTATATAGCAAGTTCGTGAAACATCGTGTGTTTCTGAGATGGACAGAGGGAGTACTAAAAGAATTTTTTCAAACTTCCGATGGTTATAGGTTATTGGGACTTCTTCCCTGTGTGAAAAGTTGTCTTATTTCTACTGAAATGCGAGTCTTGGTCAAAACTCGTTCGACATTCTTACAGGGTGATTCAGGTTTTGAGGTACAAACTGAAATGGGTGATAGATCTCATCATTTTGATCAAAAAGTGTTCATGAATATATGTCCGAATTCGATGAGTAGCGGAGATACAGGGGGTCAAAGTTCAATTATATTTTTCTATTAATTGAAATATCTCGCTCACTTCTGAAGATATCGATTTGAACTTTGGTGTGGTCAATATTTTCTAGAAGATCATTATATGAAGCATTTCAAAGATCTTAAAATTCACAGGGTGATACGATGAGGCTTCTTTATTCCCCCCAAACTTTTACGTAGTACGCTTCTGACATTTTTTAGTTACAATCTCTGCAGTTACCAAATAGGGCGGATCCTTCAATTTAAAGACTCTATCTGCATCTCAATTTTTTTTATTTTACTATACGAACAGCACTTTATCAAGACTCCTTCGTGAACGGCTAGGCTCTGGAATTCATTGCCTGTGGAAGTATTCCCAACAACATATAATCTCCAAGAGTTCAAAAAAATTCCAATACCTACCTCCTGTCCCTATCCTCCCTAGGAACGCTCGATGTTCTTTGAACATTATAGGGATTCCCTTTCGTGCGCTCCAAGCGATAAAAAAAGGCGAGATAGAGGTATAGTCACTTTGGAGAACATGATCCCCATCGAATTTTGAGCAACTTTGGTTGTCTGTCTGTCTGTCTGTCTGTCTGTCTGTCTGTCTGTCTGTCTGTCTGTCTGTCTGTCTGTCTGTCTGTCTGTCTGTCTGTCTGTCTGTCTGTCTGTCTGTCTGTCTGTCTGTCTGTCTGTCTGTCTGTCTGTCTGTCTGTCTGTCTGTCTGTCTGTCTGTCTGTCTGTCTGTCTGTCTGTCTGTCTGTCTGTCTGTCTGTCTGTCTGTCTGTCTGTCTGTCTGTCTGTCTGTCTGTCTGTCTGTCTGTCTGTCTGTCTGTCTGTCTGTCTGTCTGTCTGTCTGTCTGTCTGTCTGTCTGTCTGTCTGTCTGTCTGTCTGTCTGTCTGTCTGTCTGTCTGTCTGTCTGTCTGTCTGTCTGTCTGTCTGTACTCTGTGGTGATCATCATAAATCGATATATCTCCGGAACCCTCCGACATATCGACTTGAAATTCTGCCATCTCATTGTACTTAAAACAATATCATGTCATTAAAATATGAATGAAATCGGAAAACTCTAGGGTGGTTTTTCAGGGTTCTTTCGATTTTTCATCGGAAGTTTCTTGTAACCACTCTACAAATCGCAAAAGTGGTCCGATCGATTTCATTCCTTGTTAAAAAAAACTCTATCAGAGAGAGACGAAGCCTATTAAAATTGAACAGGGTCGGAAAATTCCAAGTGGGTTTTTCAAGGAGATTTTCCGAAACACACGGTTCGCTTTAAAACGACATATCTCCTGAACCAATGGACTGAATCCAAATTTGAAAAATGCACCGTATGCCTCTTTGATGACGCAACAAATTATTATATCACCATTTTCTCGTGCATCCATCGGAAAATTGAAAAACAAATAAAAATCAAAATTTGAAATCCTTTCAATTGAATATATGTTGACAGCGAACATTTTATAGAGTCACTTGTATTAATCCAGTGAATAGAGGAAGTTCACCTCACAAACGGTCCAGTAGTTCTGAATTCTTGATATGTTATCTAGGATGGTTATGGAGTGTTCAAAATGCAAGATGCACAATTCCCCCTCCTCCGCGCCCACTGCCATATTGAAAAAACCGAAAAAAAATCGGAACTCTCCAGATTTTCGCTTATATTATCGTTATAGTACATTTTAGCTACAAAAGAGTTCCATTAAGTATTGTAGAGGATTTAATTTCCTATACTTGACATCTTGAATTCTGATACTAGGACTGATAGTTACGGAGATATGCACTTGAGAAAATGTAAAAAATCGCATTTTCCGGAAATTTGTCAAACTAATCAATTTAGAACGCTGTAGTTCACTTATGGCCTATTATAAGGAAACAAGTATCGGGAGAAGATTTGTAGGGAATTAAATTACCAACAGGAATGCATGTATTTTTTTTTTCACCAACCCTACGTAATGGGGGGTGAAAATGAAAGTTGAAACAACGGCATATTGCTTTTTTTGGCTATTTTGACTCCACAATGTATCTGAAAATATTCACTAACTATTTTCCAGTTTAGGCTTGAATTTGGAGTTTATACTGATCTTACTTTGAATTTTTACATGACACGATGCAGGTACTATTTCCATTGATTACTTACCTGATGAGAGGGGATGTTCAATTTCAAAATACATTTTTCAAAGATTTATTTATTCAAACAAAGTAAGAACAAAGGACAGTTATGATTATACTAAATCGGTAGTAATTAAAATGAGAACTGTGAAGAAAACAATCACATGCGCTTCACTCGTTTCGTAGGGGGTGAGTTATTCAAGTCTGTGTCTTCATTTTCATCAAATTGTGAAGTAGTTACTACATGGGCATCGTCTTCGTTGTCAACGATGACTTCATCCCTGTTATTGCGTTCTTGGCCAGCACAGAATTTGCAAAGTGCGGAACAATGTAGGCCCACCTTTCTACGGCCACACGCTCCCATACAGCCAGTTGTGCATCTGCATGAGATGGTCTTGAGCAGGTTTGTTTGGGGGAGCAGCGTCTCTACTCATCCTGATGGGCTCCAGTCTTCCAGCTTTTCTACACCAATCCCACTCGATAGGGTTTTTGACAATCTCCTTCCACTCCATGACCAGGTAGATTGCGTCTGGATGTTTCCTTCTAGCTGTTTTTTTGAGGTAGACTTTGTTCACCGCAGGTGTTGTGCCAGTCAGTAGGACGAGTAGGTCAATGTCTTCTCCGACAATGATGACGGCGTCGTACGTGGGGGGCAGATTCAGTTGTGGCAACTATCAACCTGTCAGCATCTTCGGAAGCTTGGTCTGTGGCTATATTTGACGCTTGCATTTCATTGCAGAGCAGCTTCACAAATCGGTCCTTGTTTCCCTCATTGGGAATTTATCCTGGGGTACGGTGTTGACAGTGGTATTATCAAACAACACTCGTTCAGCAATCTTGGTCCCTGGCTGAGAAGGATCTGTAGTGTAGCCATCAAAAATCACCATCACATTGGTGCCATAGTGGCGCTGAACGTACTTTTGACAAAATTCCGGAGCATGCGTTTTTTTACTTCATAAAAAAATCGTATTTCCGTAACTATCAGTCCTAGAAACATAATTCGAAACGAGAATTATAGGAAATTTAATCCTCTACAACATTGAATGGAACTTATTTGTAGCTTAAATGCACCAAAACGAAGATATAAGCGAAAATCTGGAGAAAGTTCCGATTTTTTTCGGTTTTTTTCAATAATGCAGTGGGCGCGGAGGAGGGGGAATTGTGCATTTTGCATTTTGAATACTCCGTAACCATCCTAGATAACATATCAAAAATTCAGAACTACCGGACCGTTTGTAAGGTGAACCTCCTCTATGTGTCTCTATTCACTGGACTAATAACATTTAGACTTTGCATTTTTCATTGAAATTTTCATGATAATTTTTGATAGAGTAGCTCTTCACGTAATGAAAATTGTGGGCTGTAGTCCGAGAAGATTGAACGTCGGCTTATGCTGTGTGACTATGTTTGTCTCCATGTGGATATCGAACACAGCCGCAGCTGCCATGATGATACCCATTATGCAAGCTACCCTGACATCTCTCGAGGTGAATACAATCAAAATATTCACTAGATTTAACTAGAGTTACTGGATGATATTAGTTTGATAAGAGTTCGGCAACAGAAATGACAACCGTTAGGGTTTTTGAATGTTCAGATTTATCAAGTTACACACCTTGCATTTTGACAAGAGCAACATAGTCGTCCCTCGCTTTTTTATCCAAAATTGTTTGAATTTGACAATAAATTTTATGAACGTCAGAGTTGGAATAAAATTTCATAATTATACTTTCGAGAAAGAAGCAGCTATGGAAATCACTCGCTGTGTAATAAATCGTACCAATTCTGAAAAAAATGGATATCATTTAATCAATTTTCCAAAACAAATATCAACCATTCGGTTATGGAAGGAAGATATGAAACGGCCTGGGTGGAAAATCGATTTGAAAACGAGCGAAATTTGTGAGGCACTCATTAAAATTCACTTCTTATAACAGCATCTGATTAGAATATATATATGTTAGACTCATTTTCAAACAGAAGATTCCAAAATCTGTTTGAGAGAATCCGCTGTTCCATCAATTCACAAACCAGACGATTTCAAGAACAAAATTCCATTATTATCATCACACAAAATACAAAACAAAATAATCATGGAGAGAGTAAATGATCGCAAAATAACATGATGAAATTGAAAACTTGAAAACGAAACTAAGAAAAGCAAGTAAACTACAACGTGATATATCATTGAATGGCGTTTTTGGTGCCGACCAAATCCAAAATTTAACAGTGAAAAGTGAATACTTATTTATGTATGGGAATTATAATAGGGGCCTTAATCACGCTGGAGGTTATCGTTTTGGAGATATTTTCTATATCGATCCGTGTTACTTAGCTTCTAGGGCGCTAAGTGATAAGTTGCTGAGAATTTACAAAACAAAGTATTTGGTAGGTTTCGTCAAAATAAACTACTTTTTTTCTATGAAATGTTTTTCGAAAAATGATTTGTTCTCTGTATTTCTTCAAGTCTTCACATTAACGAGAAATTTCATTTTGAAAATTGAACATAAAATGCTTCGAAATTCGAGTACGCCACTGGGAAGCAAGTGAAATCCAGGGAATCTCCAATTCGTCATTCACTAACGTCAAAACGAGACAGTGATGCCATATTGTTTCAGAGACGAATATCCTGATAAAAATTTGTCACAGGATGAATATGAATTGGAATAGGTTATGGAAACTAATAGAGGTGAATGTAATATGTACAGGAGCCTTATTTTTTAAAGTTTACTGAGAGAACTGTGGGGTGATTATCTCCATGGATCACGAGAGACGGAGAGAAACATGAGGGGAATGATAGAACGTCCCCCTTCCTTCAATTCGAAAATAAGGCCCCAGCGGGTAGATACAAAATCAGCAGACAATAAATAGGTACACAACATACACAAAGTTGAAAATCGACTCACCTAGTAGATTTTCTCATACCTGCTCTCAAACATACTGCCAAATACTAATATCGAGTCCATTCCAGACTAATATCGTCCTGTGTTCTTGTTGGTTCATATTCGCACTTAAACCATCGAAAACGACTCGACGACGACATATTCTTCCTGGCAATCTCACATTGAAAATCACGAACACGACCACATCACGATTATCACGACACAAGACACAACATCCAATTATTTTATTTTTTATTTTACGTTTACAATTATTTTACAAACCAGCAACTACACAAACAAAACTATTATCATATGATCTGTCAACATCATTTCTTAGAACAGCAGTATCTGTGACCATAGATTTCCTCTTTGCTGTGACCTTTGACAGTACTAACTAGGATTGTTCGCGTTCTATTACTATTTCACGAAGATTGTTACGATATTACGATTTGTCATGAATCTATTACTATTTGCTATTAGCACCAAAATATGTTCCAATACTAGAAAATCTATTTCTGTGCTCAGCGGATAATTATGTTCCGTTCTATGTTCTATATTTATGTCAAAACTGTGATTAGTGCGATAGGGTTTGACAAGAATGACATTCCGAATGTCAAATGTCAGATTTTTCGTGTCTATTACCTTTTGATACAAATCTGACACCTTTTTCCAAGGAAATCTATTACGAAAAAATGAGCTGAATGATATGGTTCCTATGTCGGGTCGTTATTGTGCGGGGCCCATGAGACTCCTCGAAGGACACGAAATTGTAGCGATGCAAGGAGGTGGAAGGAAGGGTCTAAAGGATTTTTCAGTAAAAGAACTTCCAAGGGGAGGTGTTAAGATATACGCTTTTCTAGCTTATGTGTACAAATCTTGGGTGAGTCCATTTCAAAGTTTTTGTATTATCTTTCTGAAATTCAAGACCAGGGTTAACTTCTTCCCCATGTACATTTTCTCGATTAACATTTTATTTAATATCTCCTAATTGTCATGTAGAGTGGCAATGTCGCTTCGTTCATCACGGTCGACTGCGGATCGCAAACGATAGTTGTGCCAGAAGTAGAAATCTGGGCGGAAAAAGGGTATTTTGCCCCAAATCTATTTTGATCCTAATAATATTTTTAATAGTGCTATTCGGTAGTATACCTCAAGCTTTCTTATTGTTCAAAATATATGTACTTATTTTAAAATCAGACTGTATATATATAGACTTCATTTCTTAAAATTGTTTCAGGAATACTATTCACATTTGAACGTACTTATATTACTTCCTGTATATTGAGAATATAATATTAATAACTTTATGTTTCATACTTATCACTGGAGTGTAGTTTGAAATACAATAAGGAATTATAGCTATAAGTTTATCCATATGTGTACATTTTCTAATATCAAAATGTTGTTACATGCATTCTTTCCATTAATATAACAGTAGTTGTTCTTCTAGAAGTGTATCACTTTAAATTGAAGTGGGTGTTTGTACCCTATATCCATTATATATCTACGGCTATGATTGATTTGACAGAAAATATAACCTCTAAAATCGTATCTGACAATCAGGCGCTACTATAGGGAAATTGAAAAGACAAAGAGCAGAATATATGTTCTATTCTTTTATTCACTTGAACCATTGTTCATAGAAAATAGAAAAGGACAAAAGTTCAGCTGTGTCCGAACTCTTGATTCAATGACTGACTCAAGAAACTACTTAGTATCTGCCATTCCGCCATGGACCCATCGTTTATAGTATTTTTTTTAGGAACAAGGCATAATAGCGGTGTATGGGACAAACGCAGATCGAGACCAGTTGTCTTATCCTACGGAGGCGAACGCAGAAGAAAACGCAAACAGAAAACCGACCAAGATCACAATGTGTTACTTCATTTCTACCGCTTACGCAGCGACGATAGGAGGAAGTGGATGTATCATCGGCTCTGGCATGAATTTGGCTTTCAAGGGTTTATATGAAACAAGATTTCCTGATAGCCCAGGTATAATGTAACAATAACAATGGTACTCATTATATGATTATGCAGTTGTAACGTGGTCAGTTGGTCGATTTCATGTTACGATTAGTGTCCTATATAAACAGGATCGAACTAATTTCTCACGCCTCACGAACAATTTCAAGTATTTTAGTATTGAATGCTCGCATTAGATTTTCCCTTTCACTGTTCATAGTGGAGGGAGTGAATGGGGTTTCAAGTATGACGAATTTCATTGCATATCAAATATATGCAATGAAATTCGCCTAGAAAATAACAACTAATATAGCAATATCATCCCGAAAGTGCTTTCTTCGCATATCACACTTCCTGATATAATAGTAGATTGTTTTATTAGGATCAAAAGTGACACTTTGTTTGACAAGCGAATTTTGCATTTGCGAGGCGGAGCGTTTAGCGAAGCCGAGCGAAAGCAAAATTTGAGTCGAAAAAAAGTCACTTTTGATCCGAATGAAACATGCTATTTTTTCTGCAACCGAAACAATGAACTCAAATGAACATGTGAAGTAACCACCAATGCCGTGCCATATGTATGCAATGCAACAAATATTGACAAATAATCCATGTGGTGAGAATATTCTACCTGCATTAACAGCAGGTTAGGTTTTCTAGGATGTTCGAATTGTAGTTTCAATATAAATACAACCACAGAGTGACATATTTGTGTATGGAGATGGACCAGGTGCTCTAATGGCAAATACCGCGCCAGTGCCAGCTATAGGAACAAGACGTGGAAAATGTTAGATTTGTGAGCATATCAACAATGATAATAGTGATTATTTATTCCTCTCCATTCTACACTGTGTTTGACTTGATAATCAAATGAAGCTAAACAATATCGTTGTTTGAGACAAAAAAAACTATTGCTTGCCGTGATTATTCAAAAACAAATTATCCATCCCGAGAATAACGAATGAAATACAGATCAAGCAAGTATATTTGAATCTTGAAGGCTTCCCTGATCAAAACAAAAATACCCAACTGAGATGTTTATAATTCCAATACTAAACTATAATAAGGTGTATTTATATCTCCAGCATGGGTATGAAATGTCAAATCCGCTGAAATCGGAAACAAATCAGGTATGCGTCTAAACCCAAATAACCAACCGTCACAATGTTGTTTATTCTTGATGACTTCCAGTACATCCTTTTTAGTTCCTAGGAGCTAAAGTTCAACTTTAGCTCCTAGGAACTAAAATGAAACTAGGAACTAGGAACTAAATATGTTGCCTAGTTTTGGTGTCAGTAATAGAAACGTCAATTCAAGAGCTGATTTTGGTATCAAAATGGACGACTTTTGTGTCGGTTGCAGAAAAATACTATTATGTGTAAGGTTTGATCAATACAGAAAGGAAACTACAGAATAAATTCGCTAGCAAGGAGATGATTGCGTTTTTTGAAAATTCGTGAGACACATTATACGGGAAATATGAAGAATATAACGGTGAGATAGAGTAGGCCCTGATATAACCCCACAGGGGTAGCTAGAATCAGCCTCGACTTGTTTTTTTTTTCAAATCCAACCCTATTGTCACGAGTGGGTCTAACGCCCACTATCGCAACTCGAACTTACTCGCTTGCAAGAGGTTTTTTTGGAAATGATAACTAAATAATTTAACTCCACTTCACAAGTTTATTCATTTTGAATAAAAACAATTAGGGCATGAAATAAATTGAACATTAATTATCCAGCAAGATACATCCACTCAAATCGAAACAAAACAGGAAAACTAAAACTAGTAATACTCAAAAAAGGTACTTACAGAAGGGCTCGCTTTTCGTTGGAGGATTGGAACTGCCACTCACGAAGTTTAGACATGATGCAAAGTTTGAGATTTACTTTCTATTAGAATATTTGAAAAGACTTTACGGTCCACTGTCCGAACCACAACTGCCGGTTTTTTCTCTAATACTTTTTCATCTTGGTTTTGGTAGTGGTAATCGATTCAGCATAAAAACTAGTGTATTCACCTCGATTAGGAAAAATCCAAAACCAGCAGTTTCTGCCCGTCAGCGACTTTACTTGAATAATAATAAAATTGAAATCCGAACTATAATTTCCTCTGAATATCGTAATTCTCTACTGATATCCTGTAAGCTAAATAATTCTAAGAATATGATCTAGACTAGGTTATTGTACTGTTCTTGAATGAAATGAGAATTTCAAATATTCTCAATAAAATTATAGTTTTTATCCATTCTTGACACTATGGCTGGTGACCCCTCATTGGAAATCTGGTTGATACAGGAATCCAGCATACTGATCAAATTTCAGTTCGCAGTTCACGTTTGGGTGTCGCATGAAATCAAAATATAATTTCAGAGCTTGATATATCCTCAACGTATTTCCATTTAAATTTAGTTTTTAGTGACGGTGATCAATGGCTTCCTCACCAACTTGCAATAACATTTCATTTCAAACTGTTCAAACGACAAAGAAACTATTGTTACTTTGAAAATAAAAGGAATTTCAAAATAACAGTTTGATTTTATGCAATCGTTACAAAGAACATTTGATCAGTTTGCTGAATTCCTCTTTCCGCCAGCTTCCAAACGAGGGGTCACAAGCCATAGGTTTGCATTTGAAGAAAGTATGTTGGGGGTGGTTTCACCTACCCCTGAGGAAATATATTCTTGATGTTGTTTGCAAAATGTAGGTGTTTGTATTAAATTGTTGAAGTATGTCGGGAATTTTCTGAAAAAATATGCACCTTCCCGCTAGCGAATTTATTGCAGTTGAAGTCTCAAGACTGTATAATAATGATGATGACAGACGAAATGCAGGTAGTCGAACTCCGTGAAATAAGTATACTGTATATAGATCACCAACCAATCACAGGAAACAAATGAACTACCCTTTTGATAATTATTGATGATATTACAGGTGTGGAGTTTTCCAGCTGGATGTTACTCAATCTGCCGATAATGTTAGTAACAATGTTTTTCGTCATCATTTGGATGCAGTTTCATTTTTTGGGACTATTTCGGCCAAATTCTGACGATGCAAAGAAAATCAAAATTGGACCAGAGGGACGGTTCATTGCAAAAAGTATCATGGACCAACAATTGCATGAACTTGGTCGTATGTCTTTCCATGAAATTTGCGTCGGGATATGTTTTGTTTTGGTCGTATTATTATGGTTCTTCAAACGACCAGGTTTTATGAAAGGATGGACGGAGTACATAACTGATACGAATGTAAGGATTCATCAAAACTCTACCTATAGGGTGTTTTTCATTGCTCATCTGATTGGTTGAAGGAATTGCACCTAATTGTCAAAGATGCAGGAAAAACACCCAGTTAATAATACACAATGAATCGGATATTTTGCGTTCATGCCGGCTGATAATGTACGCGTTTTAGTCACAATAATATACAGACCTATAATAATTGACTTATTCCAATGAACATTTCAGACATTCATTTTTTACCAATTAGAAGGCTCTTGAAACTATGAAGGCATGTAATATCAGATGTTATGATTAGAACCGAATTGATGTTTTGAATGTTCCTTAGGTACTACACTGAGAGAAACTGGATATTAAAAATATCTACCAGCTCTGATTGTAATAACGATTATAAGGAAATCTCCTATTCCTGATCATTTTATTATTACAACAGTATTCTCTCCATTCTGTAATTATAAAAATCGATTTCTTAAATCATTTGTAATACCCTTGAATGAACATATGCTACCATCATAACGCAGGTGTGTTATGACATTATGAGAATTTTATAAATTCCAGTCTATTTAGATTTTTTATTGACATAGCTCGTTTTGTGAATTATGCTCATTGGTGAATTCAGATAATGTTTTTCCCAATAATCATAGCTGTTTGGGTTTCTAGCATTGTACGTTGACGAATAACTCTAGCAATTCGCATGTATGACGGTTATTAGGCAATCATTCGACAATCGTAATTCGGCTCATTTCGCTCTAGTGTTTCATTAGTATTGGGGTGACAAAGCTACAGATTGCGTCCATTTCACTTCTGTTCTCGGTCATGGGTACCCGTGTTCAATTATTGTTCAATGGTTTCGATCGTCCGAATCGATAGAGCCGTGTCTTGTAGGTGAATGTCTGTGATGTAGCAAAGTTTTGTTTTAGTGCTGGCTGTGAACCGATCTGTGGAATACCCGTGCATTGCATTATTGCAATGAAAAAAGTATTCTCCATGCCCACTTTTCACGGCCTAAAATTGGTTTATTTCAAAAACAAAATGATCGATGAGATTCTGAATCAAAATATCTGGGTTTCTGTGAGGGAAGTTTAATTGACAATTCTCATCATAACTCCGAAGGAAGGGTAAATATAAGTATTCAACTTCTCATTTCTTAATAAATTCGTCAGTAATGCATATAGATGATATTTCTCTGAAAAAACCAATGAGTAATGTCAAAAAACTCCCACAGATACCCAAATATTTCAATTCAGAGACTAAACGTATTTTTTTGTTTTTTTGAAAACAATAACTTTGGATCATGAAAAGTGATAGTGTGGATAGGATATTTATTTTCATTGCAGTAATTCAAAGCACGGTTTCATAATGCATACCATCGAATAATATTGATTAGATAACCTTATTACCACTGTTTGATGAATATACTAGAGTAGAAAAATATTGGGATAACTGTTGAAAATGAGCTACATTACAATAGCATGTCAAAATGTCAGGTTTCATCTCGGGTTTCATGCAGATATCAGATAACTATAATAAAATGGGACGTATTACTGCGTTACCTCAAGATGGTTGTGCCAGTAATAAAAACATGCTGTTTTATGTCGATAGTCTAATAACCACTGTAAAGTGGAGAGTTACTGCAACATTTCATGGGAATAATTCCTATTCGACATTCTGTGTTATCATAGAAACTAGAACAAGTAGTAGTTATTCAGCAGCGGTGTTTTTATTCAAGTTTGCAAATTGAATAAGCTGCCATAACTACAAGTCACCTGAAAATCCACTTCATCTATGGTAGCAAATGAACACATCTGTCCCCTATTTATTGCAGATATCGTTATAACGGTAATCAGATTTCCAATTATGATAACTCAAGTTTTCTCTCAGTGTAACAAGTAAAATCGATTTCCCTTGTAGGAATATAGTACGTCCTATTATTTAACTAAATTCATCGAAAATATGTTATTTCAAGTTTCATCTGAAACTATTTATACATTAAATATCAGAAATATTATGGTTGAGAACGAATTATTGTATTTAATGTTCCTAAAATGTTAGTAATAAACAAGGTAATAGATCTTGGATACTAACAAGTAGAATCAACTTCTATTGTAAAAATTCAGTGCGTTATATTCAACTAAACTCATCGGAAATATGTTTTTTAAGTTCCATTTGAAGCTATATGTAGACATGCAATATCAGATGATATTGTTGAAAACGAATTGATGCTTTAGTGTTCCTGAAATTCAGGTAATAAACCTCAGTTACTAGAAAGTAAAATCAATTTCTATTGTAGAAATTAGACTGACAGAAGTGACATCGGATATTTGATTATTTCAAAAGAATGAGATGCCTACAACGCAGGTTCAGATTTCAAAATAATGTAATATCTTCCCAATATTGATTCGTCCTTTCTCCTGTCACAGAAAAAAATAGTGTATTATTCACGGGAAAAATATCAGATTTTAGCTCACGGTTTTTTGTCTCACGACGCGTAGCTGCAGCTAAAATATACTACTTTTTTCCCTTGTATTTGATTGATTCCTCACATTTCAGTAATAAAAACGAATTATAGCTAAGTGTCAAATTTTATTTGACATCCACGCAGAATATGTCGTGAAGTTCATCTTATCATCATATTAAAAGCAACTCCAAATTATGAAATTTTCTTACTAAATCTCCCACGCAGCAGAATTAATATCCGATCATTTTTTTCTCGGTAACACTCATGTTTCTGTTGGTAAAAAATCATCCCGAGTCGATGATGAGGAAAATTTCCCATCAATAAAAGCATTCAAGGCCTTGAACAAAATTATCGGTAATAATTCTGCTGCTAGGGAGATTATAACTGAAAAAACATGAATATGTACAGTGTGTCCAATTAGTGCGTAATTCTTCGATATCTCGAAAGCCATAACCTATAGAGAAAAACTTTGGAGAAAAAACTTCTTCAGTTACTAAAGTTGCTCATTTCAAAATTATTTTCAACATTACTGGGTGATTTATAAAAGCAGGGCAACTCGAAGAAGAGTTTTTTTGAATGGAACACCCAGTATTGTTCATTCGGAATTAATTCCGTCGAGGTTCACCTTCACATCACTGTGAAAGAAATTGGAATCGGTTGCGGCGTTGCCAAGTTATAATTGATAAATCTATTTTTACGATTATTGAAGAGTCATGTTGAATTGGGCATGATATATTCATTTATTCAGATTTTGAAAATATGTTTGGCATACGGTAGCAGCAAGGTCCAACGTTTAACAATCCAGTAATTTTGCGACATGTTCTTCAACAGGGTGCTCAATTTTGCATTTAGAATTTTGAAAGATTCAGATGACATTCATCAGAATTTTTCAAATGGAACACTCTGTATTTTTATTCAAAAATTCATTTCGACATCTTTCGCCTTTTTATCGCTGGAAAACAAATCGGAATCGGTTGCGGCGTTGTCAAGTTATGGTTGATTTCCTTTTTTTCACTACTATTTCGGGGTAATTTGTACGTCATAGTTCTTTCATTTATTTGTATTGTGGAAATATTGCGTTGCTACTGTATAATCAAATTTGTTCATTGACCATTCATATATTTTTTCACTAAAGTAACATTTACAGGCTCTCCAAGTTTGAATTTTGTTCGAAATATTTGTGTAATGACCTGTCAAACATCGCTACAATCAAATATATCTTGGATTGATTCGACATTTTGCTGAATTTCCTCCCAAAAGCTGCGTAGTAGAGACATATTGTTTGTATCATTATGTTTACCTTCTTCAAGGTAAATGGAGATTTGGATTGTGGGAATAACGGCAATAAAAATGGCCCAAATTTCAAAAAAATTTCCTGATTTTCGCAATACGCATCTTCATTGTTTGTATTGTAGAAGTTATTTCAAAGACAGGCGTTGCGTTTGGCATGTTTGTTTGTTTCACATATTATTTGAATCATAAGTAGCAAGATTACGGAATATTTCAAATTTGGACGATTCACATATCACAAAAATACCTGAATGATCTATGTTGAATCTCGAATGTCATGTGGCAAGCAATATTCCCACACTCAAATCAAATTAAGGAACCATCAGGACGAACAAATTACCCCGAAATAGTAGTAAAAATAAGGAAATTACTCATAACTTGAAAACGCCGCAACCGATTTCGATTTTTTCTTCTGCGATGAGAAGGCGAATGATGCCGAAATACATCCGTGATGAAAAATACAGGGTGTTCCATTTGAACATTTCTTATGATCGTCGTCTGAATCGTACAATATTCAGAATGTGAATTTTAGCACCCTGTAGAAGATTATCTCGCAAGATTACTGTATTGGTATACGTGAGACCTTGCTACTACTGTATGCCAAAAATATTTTCGAAATTTCAATAAATGAATATTCCATACCCAATTGAACATGACCCTTCAATAGTTGGTTTATCAATTATAACTTGGCAACGCCGCAACCAAATTCAATTTTTTTTACAGCGATGTAGAGCTGAACTTGAGCGGAATAAATTTCGAATGAACAGTACTGGGTGTTCCATTTGAAAAAACTCGTCTTTGAGTTGCCCCGCTTTCATGAAACACCCAGTATCATTGGAAATATTTTCGAAATGAGCAACTTTAGTAACTGAAAAAGTTTTTTCTCCAAAGTTTTTCTCTTGTGATAATTGATTTCGAGATAACGAAGAATTACGCACTAAATGGACACACGTATAGGTACTACGTGATACTATCAACCGGCTTGAACGCGTAATAGTCGATCTTAGCCGTAATTAACTTAACAAACATCATTTTGCAGACTGGGGATGCTACAATCGCCATTTTGGTAGTACTCATATTGTTCTTATGTCCATCAAAATCTGAATTCATTTACTCTCTCAGCAAGGACGAATCAAAGAGACCAAAGTCTTCTTCTCCTTCCCTGATTACTTGGAAAACTGTTAACCAGAAGATGCCGTGGAGCTTGTTATTCCTTCTAGGTGGCGGATTTGCAATGGCCGATGGATCGCAGGAGAGCGGCATGAGTAAAATGATTGCGGAATACCTGAGGAATTTTGGTACTTTGGATAAGCATTACGTCATGTTAGTTTCCTGTGCAACGATAGGTCTTCTAACGCAGGTGTTTTCTAGTAACATCGCCTGCGCGACCTTGGTTATTCCTGTTATGGCGGACTTGTCTGTGGTAAGAAAACATGCCCAAATCCTGAAGGTTTAATAATAAAAGATATATTAGAACTAACAAATTCTTTGGCCAATCCGTTATCAAAATTGGTCAATAAATGTTTCACCAGTGGTGTATTTCCACAAGAATTGAAACATGCTTCATTAAGACCAATATACAAAAGTTGAGATACCCAAGATCCAGAATATTATAGACTAGAGTCACTGGATGGTATTTGTTTCATAAGAGTTCATAATACAATGGTTTGAGTGAATAAAGGAATAAGACATATATTCTGCTCCTTCTCTTTTCAATTTCCCTAGTAGCGCCCGATTGTCAGATACGATTTCAGAGGTTATATTTTCTGTCAAATCAATCATAGCCGTAGATAGACAATGGATATAGGGTACAAGATTAGATGTGGAATGGGGCCTTCGGGCTATCTGCCTCCACACTGCGACCTATTCAGATCTATTGTGTCTGCCCTCAAAATCGATTAGAGTTCTTCGGCTAGCCCCGTCTTCTCTATGAGACTCCATAGGCTAGCTTTCAGATCTCCTGTGTATCTCTGGGCTCCTGGTTTTTCCTCACCCAGCGTAAGGAACCTTAGTCTTGACAAGCCTTCACAGTGGCAAAGTATGTGTACTGCTGTTTCTTCCTCTTCTTGACAGAACCTGCACAGCAGTTCTTCAGTCAGACCTATCGTACTCATGTGTTTGTTGACCCTACAATGCCCTGTGAGAAGTCCCACTAGTATTCTAGTTGAACTTCGTTTCTGGCTTAGTAGATATTCTGTGAATGTTGGCGATGGTTTTTTAAGAAACTCTTTAGCCTGTCTCATTCCTGGCGAGTTGTTCCACCATTCTTGAGATTTATTTTGCATCCATGATTTGATACTAGTCTTTTGTATAGCTTTCGCAATACCACAGAAGGGTTCTGGGATTTTAAGAGCTTTGTTTGCTCCTGCTCGGGTACAAACACCCACTTCAATTTATAGTGATACACTTCTAGTACAACAATTGTTTTATAAATGGAAAGAATGCATATAACAACATTTTAATATCAGAAAATATACACATATGGATAAACTCATAGCTATAATTCCTTATTGTATGTGAAACTGTACTCCAGTGATGAGTATAAAACATGAAGTTATTTATATTGAATTGAAGGTAGATATTCTCAATATACAGGAAGTAACATAAGTACTTTCAAGTGGAGTATTCCTGAGACAATTATGAGAAATAAAGTCTATACAAGCTTTTGTGTCCGGAAATGCTTCATTTCGGAGATACCGAATGCTGAAATACAGAGAACAAATCATTTTTCGATATACATTTAATAGGAAAAATGTAGTTTATTTTGACGAGACCTACCAAATACTTGGTTTTGTAAAGTTCTCAGCAACTCCACTTAGCGTTCTAGGAGCTAAGTAACATGGATCGATATAGAAAATATCTCCAAAACATTAACCTCCAGCGTAATTAAGGCCCTTATAATAATTCCCTTGATACATAAATGACTATCCACTTTCCACTGTTGAATTTAAAATTTAGTCGGCACCAAAAACGCCATTCAATAATATATCACTTTGTAGTTTACTTGCTTTCCTTAGTTTCGTTTTCAAATTCTCAATTTCATTATGTAATTTTGCGATCATTTCCTCTTTTCCATAATCATTTTATTTTGTATTTTGTGTGATGATAATAATGGAATTTTGTTCTTGAAATCGCCTGTTTGGAAATGAGGAACAGCAGATTCTCTCAAACAGATTTTGAAATCTTCTGTTTGAAACTGGGCCTAAAATATAGTTTCATTCTAATCAGATGCTGTTATAAGAAGTGAATTTCAATGAGTACCTCACAAATTCCGCTCGTCTTCAGATTGATTTTCCACCCAGGCCGTTTCATATCTTCCTTACATAGGCGAATGGTCGATATTTGTTTTGGAATATTCAATAAATGATATCCATTTTTTCAGAATGGGCACAATTCATTACACAGCAAGTGATTTCCATAGCTGCTCTTTTCTCGAAAGTATAAATATGAAATTTTATTTCAATTTCGACGTTTATAAAATTTATTGTCAAATTCAAACAATTTTGAATGAAAACGCGGGACGACTATGGTGCTCTTGTCATAATGCAAGGTGTGTAACTTAATGAATCTAAACATTCAAAAACCCTAACCATTGCCATTTTTGTGTCCGAACTCTTATCAAACTAATACCATCCAGTGACTCTATTATAGTCCAACTGCCTTAGTGGTCATTTTTTCCCAAAATTGTTGGAAAGCTTTTTAAAAAACGTATTGTAGATTTCATAAATTGATAATATAGCTTTGACATAAATCAATTTAGTTATCAAGAAAATAGTGGCACACAAATGTCGAAAGCCTTAGCCTTAGACAAATCATGGAACATATCAACAAATATTATAAAATGCAATAGGTATATCTCTTCAAATTGATCTTTCCTCAACGCTGTTGAAATAATATCTATATGTTCAACTATTGTTAGAGATAACGCACCTACTCAAAATCATAATTTTACATTATTCAGATATATCTACAACATGCATGTTCAATAAACCATTCTTTTGATCAATACCAACCAATATTATGTTTCAGATTTCGAAAATACACCCAATGTTTCTCATGATGTCTTCTGCCCTTTGTTGTGGTTATGCTTATTGCTTACCAGTTTCGACTCCACCAAATGCCATTGCTGTTGCTGCATGTAATATGCCCACTTGGAATGTCATCAAAGTTGGCAGTGGAATACTCGTGATAAATCTTGTTGTACTCTTCTCCATCTATCCATTTTATGGAAATATTATTTGGGATTTTGATACTTACCCCGAGTGGGCAGTGTGAAACTGATAATTCCATGACTTTGTCACAAAAGTAACTACCAAGGACTGAAACAAACATATCTAATATGTAATAACACTAATTTCTTTATCTTTCATGTATTCGCAATTGAATGTAGAATGTAATCATTTTAACAAGTTCAATAGTTATGTTTTTCATTGATTTATTATATAGTTTTTTCGTAATGTCAATATATGGATTTTCTATAGAGCACAATTACTTTCAATCCGCCACATTGCTATAGACTATAGAGGGTGTTTCAAAATTCAATTTCAATATGGCATGCATAATATCCGATCCCGAAAACTCCCACTCACAAATTTTGAATACAATCGGATTCGGACAATTCGACCACGGGTCAGGTATCTGTTTTAAGTACACCGATCAGTTGGACCACGACCGCGGATTAAGGTTGTATTCTAAGAAATAAAAAAATCACTATTTTCTTAACATATATTATTTATTATTGGGGTGAATTATAATGAGACATAATTTTTACAAAATCTTTTGGTGATCAAAGGCCATTTCTAAAATCTGATATCTTATATAGCTTTAATGAAATCATTTTTTTTCTGTGTTGCACTCTTTAGTTTTCGAGCTGATCATGGTCTCATTCGATTCAGCGTGTCATTTCCTACTGGAAAAGAGATAATTCGCGTGAATCTCCGCCATTCTCTGGCACATTCGGCAGTCCAAAGATAGCTCGGTGACTATATCGTACTGAAGTCTCAGGTGGGGAAATGAACATTTTTATTTGGCCTGTAAAGAATTCTTTGTCGGAATGAACGAATCTGTGGTGGAAATTCGTAAATTTGGGGAAATTGAGATGTAGTAGCCTACCGGAGTGCACCTATCAGCAATGAAATCGGAAAGCTGCCTCTGAGCGCCGATATCTCGAAAACTATTTGTCCTATCGGGCTGATCATGGACTCATCCGATTCAGCGTGTCATTTTCTACTCGGGAAGCAATATTCGCGCGAATTTACGCCGTTTTCTGGCACTTTCGGCCGTCCGAAGATAGCTCGGTGACTATATCGTTTTGAAGTCTCATGTGAGAAAGTGAAAATTTCCTATTTGGGCTATTGAAAATCTGAAAACATTCAAACAAACTGATTCAATGTCGAAATGAATAGAATAGAAGAATAGAAGTTTATTCGTGCAGAACATACATATTTTATAGTGTTTGCATACGTCAATAGTAATACATAGTATTAGTTTGAATCAAAATCAGTATAACAAAAACAAAAAAAAAACATTGTACAGAGAATATACAGTCAAATACAAAACTCTTGGAGAGAATACAGACATAAAAACAGAGATATATAGCAGTACACAAGAATATCTGTTACTACTAGGCAGTTTACGAATTAGTTAAACGTTCGAAATGAACAAAATATTCTTCAAATGTGTGAAAGGCATTTTCTAAAAGAATGTTTTTGATTTTTACTCTGAAAGTACTTATACTCATGTTAGGAGACTGAAACTCATTAGGTAACACATTAAAAAATTTTAAAGATAAATATAAATAAGAGTTTTGCGATTTACTCAACCTATCGGTATCGGTGGTGTATGTCCTTCTGCCTGGTAACTTTATTTTCATCTCTTAATATTTTTTGGCATAACACAAACATTCATATATGAAGCAAGATCGCAGAGTCAAGATGTGGAGATTTTTGAAAAAAGGTTTACAATGGTCATCATATTTGGCCTGTGCCATAATTCTGACGACTTTTTTTTGTAATTTGAATATTATATCTGAATGACATGATGAACCCCATACTATCAGTCCGTATGTCATTATGCTGTGGAAAATGCCAAAATAAGCTACTCTCAAACAGTCTGTTGTTATTATCTTGCTAAGTTGTCTTATTACATATATACACGTTGATAGGCGCTTCGATAATTTCTGAATATGAGGTAAGAAATTTAAAGATGAGTCCAAATACACTCCAAGAAGCTTGACTGGTTCAAAATTTTCTATATTATCTTTTGTTGAGAAATCTAAAGTTCTGGTTTTATCATCATTCAAAGTGAGATAGTTGCTTCTAGACCAGTTTGTTATGAAATGAACGAATCTGTGGTGATAATAATTAGGAAATTTTGAATGATTGAGACGTAGTAGCCTACCGAAATGCACCTATTGGCAATGAGAGCGGACTTTGAGCGCCAATACCTCGAAAACTATCTGTCCTATCGAGGTGATCATGGTCTCATTTGATTCAGGGTGTCATTTTCTACTGAAAAGGCGATAATTCTCGTGAATTTTTGCCGTTTTCTGGCACTTTCGGCCGTCGAAAGATAGCTCGATGACTATATCGTACTGAAGTCTCAGGTAGGAAAATGAAAATTTTTATTTGGCCTATTAAGAATCTGGAACAATTCATATAGAGTGATTTGATGTCGAAATAGACGAATCTGTGGTGGAAAATTGAGAATTTCGGAAAATGGAGACGTAGTAGCCTACCGGAGTGCACCTATTGGCAATAGAAGCGGAATGCTGACTTTGAGCGCCGATATCTCGAAAACTATCTGTCCTATCGGGCTGATCATAATCTCCTTCGATTCAACGTGTCATTTTCTACTGGAAAGGCGATAGTAAGCGTGAATTCCTGCCGCTTTCTGGCACTTCCAGCCGTCCAAAGATAGCTCGATGTCTATATCGTACTGAATTCTCAGGTGGGAAAATGAAAATTTTTATTTGGCCTATAAAAAATCTGAAAAAATTCACATAGACTGATTTGATGTCGAAAAGAACGATTCTGTGGTTGAAATTTGAAAATTGTGGAGAATGGGGACGTAGTAGCCTACCGGAGTGCAAATATTGGCAATAAAAGCGAAAAGCTGACTTTGAGCGCCGATATCTCGAAAACTATCTGTCCTATCGGGCTGATCATAATCTCCTTCGATTCAACGTGTCATTTTCTACTGGAAAGGCGATAGTAAGCGTGAATTCCTGCCACTTTCTGGCACTTCCAGCCGTCCAAAGATAGCTCGATGTCTATATCGTACTGAATTCTCAGGTTGGAAAATGAAAATTTTCATTTGACCTATTGAAAATCTGAAAAAAATCACATAGACTGATTCGATGTCGAAATTGACGAATCTGTGATAAAAATCAGTTTTTGAAAATGGAGACGTAGTAGCTTACCGGAGTGCAAATATTGGCAGTAAAAGCGGAAAACTGACTTTGAGCACAGTTATCTCGAAAACTATCTGTCCTATCGGGCTGATCATAGTCTCATTTGATTGAGCGTGTCATTTTCTATCAAAAAAGCGATGATTTGCGTGAATTTTTGCCGTTTTCTGGAACTTTCGGCCGTCTGAAGGTTGCACGGTGACTATATCGTACTGAAGTCTCAGGTGGCAAAATGACAAATTTTATTTGGCCTATGAGGAATCTGAAAAGATCCACATAGACTAATTTGATGTCGAAATGAACGAATCTGTGATGGAAATCAGTAAATTTTTGAAAATGGAGACGTAGTAGCCTACCGAAGTGCAAATTTGGGCAGTAAAAGCAGAAAGCTGACTTTGAGCGCCGATAACTCGAAAACAATCTGTCCATCGGGCTGATTCACGCGAATCATTGCTTTTCCAGTAAAAAATGACACGCTGAATTGAATGAGACCCTGATCAGACTGATAGAATAGATAGTTTTCGAGATATCGGCGCTCAAAGGCAGCCTTCTGATTCCATTGCCAATAGGTGCACTCCGCTAGGCTACTACGTCTCAATTTCCTGGAATTTACGAATTTTCATCACAGATTTGTTCATTTCGACATCGAATTAGTCCATGTGATTTTTTTTTAGATTTTTAATTCGTCAAATGAAAATTCTCATTTCCCCACCTGAGACTTCAGTACGATATAGTCACCGAGCTATCTTCGGACGGCCGGTAGTGCCAGAAAACAGCGGAAATTCACGCCAATTATTGCTTTTCCATTAGAAAATGACACGCTGAATCGAATGAGACCATGATCAGCACGATAGGACAGATAATCTTCGAGATATCGACGCTCAAAGGCAGCCTTCCGATTCCATTGCCAATAGGTGCACTCTGGTAGGCTACTACGTCTCAATTTCTTGAAATTCACAAGTTTTCACCACAGATTCGTTCATTTCGTCATCAAATTAGTCCATGTGAATTGTTTCAGAATTTTAATAGGCCAAATAAAAATTTTCATTTCCTCACCTGAGACTTCAGTACGATATAGTCACCGAGCTAACTTCGAAGGGCCGAAAGTGCCAGAAACGGCGGAAATTCACGCGAATTATGGCTTTCTCAGTGAAAAATGACACGCTGATTCGAATGATACCATGATCAGCCCGATAGGACAGATGGTTTTCGAGATATCGGCGCTCAAAGGCAGCCTTTCGATTTCATTGCCAATAGGTGCACTCCGGTAAGCTACTACTTCTCCATTTCCGGAAATTGCTTCATTTCCACCACAGATTTGTTCATTTCGACATCGAATCAGTCTATGTGAAATTTTTCAGATTTTTATTAGGCCAAATAAAATTTTTTATATCATCACCTGAGACTTTAGTACGATATAGTCACCAAGCTATCTTCGGACGGCAGGAAATGCCAAAAAACGGCGAAAATTCACGCGACCCATTGCTTTCTCAGTAGCAAATGACACGCTGAATCGAATGAGACCCTGATCAGCCCGATAGGATAGATAGTTTTCGAGATATCCGCGCTCAAAGGCAGCCTTCCGATTTCATTGCCAATAGGTGCACTCCGGTCACGAATTTCCACCACAGATTTGTTCATTTCGACACCGAATTAGTCTATGTGATTTTTTTCAGATTTTTGATAGGCCAAATAAAAAATTTCATTTCCCCCCCCCCAGCACAATATAGTCACCGAACTATCTTCGGACAAACGAGAGTGACAGAAAACGGCGAAAATTCACGCGAATTGTCGCTTCTCCAGTGGAAAATGACACGCTCAATCGAATGAGACCTTGATCAGCCCGATAGGACAAATAGTTTTCGAGATATCGGCGCTCAAAGGCAGCCTTTTGATTTCATTGCCAATTGGTGCACTCCAGTAAGCTACTACGTCTCCATTTCCCAAAATTGTCTTATTTACATCACAGATTCGTTTATTTCGGCATCGAATTAGTCTATGT